AAGTGCAAGTGTGAGGAAGCTAGGACTTACCAAATAACAAAAAAAAATTGCTAAATATCAATGGTAAGTCCTAGCTACCTCAAACTTGCACTTTGTAATGCTAAAATTGAATGGGTTAATAACCGAATACTTAACTTTTTTCTAAAGAGTGTAAATTGCAATACTTGGATGGAAATTCGCAGAGTTTTCTTTAATTTTGCATAAGGTTTGTAACTCCGATTTTTGGGGTTTTTGGTGTGGAATTAACCATATTTTTATAAAAAAATAGGGAAAAATAAAATATTTAAAAAATAGTTGCCGGTATTGTAAAAACTTCACTGTACCTAAACTTTATTGACTGACTGTATATCTTATTTAAGTTAAGTACGACAAAAACTTTCGAAGTACTTCATATACATATAAGCTTAAAAAGAACTGAATTTACTTAAAAATCAATATGCTTAAATTTAGACAAGTAAGACAAAGTGAATTAATATTTTTACTTTTAAGCAGAACGCACTTTTGTTTTTTACTTACTACTTAAGTTTAATACTACTACTACTACTAATGTGGTTTATAGATTTTTAATAAATGCGTTTAACCATTTGTGATTGTATTGTCCTTCCTTCAACCGATCGTATTTAATATAGAAGGGAAATGTTTCAACAAGCCTGATTAGAAATGTAGATCTAAGGTGACGAATTTATAACAGGTTGGGAACTGCATATAAAAAATGGATGCAGATCGAACTAGATCTCATCTTTCGAATTAGGAACTGGTTTGGAACTAAAGAAAAGGGGATGCAGAACGAACTAGATCTCATCTGTCGAATTTGGAACTGAGCCGGAACTATAGAAAAGGGATGCAAAACGAACTAGATCTTATCTGTCGAATTTAGAACTGGTTCGGAACTAGAGCCAAAGGGATGCAACGGGGGACAATTGACACTTCCTAGGAGATCGCAATGTTAAATTCGCCAGTCGCTAGCATGCAAAAGAGAATTAACGCGTACTAGTCATGGTTCCAAATGCACTAGAACCGAACCAGTTCTGCACTAGTTCGTTTCCCTACAGGGTGGTTCCCACGTCTCAATCATAAGCAATAAAGATTTAAGAAAGTATTTCGCCGACATTCAATTGAATACCATTAAAACGGAACGGAATGTCTGGGCTATAGCTGGGTGCGGGTTTCAATTGAGAGATGTGACAAAATACTGAAACTGTATGTAGTGCGCTCTGACCGCAAGCCACTTCTAGGCAGAGAATGGCAACGCGAGATTAGACTAGAATGGAACAAAATAATAAATAATGATACAGTTAGTGTGCAAAATATTAACCAGATACAGCAAAATCAGAAAAGCAGTCAAATTGAAAATTTAACTAGTAAATATCCGAATGTGTTTTCGACCACTACCGGAAAAATTAAAGACTTGCAAGCTCGTTTTTACCTAAAACCTAATGCAGCGCCGAAGTTTGTGAAGCACCGAAGAGTTCCTTTTCCATTAATGGAAGCAGTGGAGAAACAATTGGATGCACAAGTAGCAGAAGGTCTTCTTAAGAAGGTTGAAACCAGCGAATGGGCTACGCCAATTGTCGTGGTGCGGAAAAAGGGTGGTGGAGTCCGAATATGCGGGAACTATAAAGTTACGCTGAACCCGGTTTTATTGGTCGATGAACACCCACTACCAACAGTAGATGAGCTGTTTAGCAAAATGGCAGGTGGAGTACGGTTTTCGAAAATCGACTTGGCAACAGCATACCTTCAACTAGAGGTACATCCAGACGATAGGCACCTTCTTACGCTCAACACGCACAGGGGATTGTACCATCCAACTCGTATGATGTTCGGAATCGCCAGTGCACCGGCAAAATGGCAGCGATTAATGGAACAGGCTATAGGAGATATTCCGGGAGTATCGGTCTTTTTGGACGATATAAAGGTGACAGCGCCAGATGATGATACACACATAAAACGTGTCGAGGAAGTACTTAAAAGGTTCGATCACTACAACATGCATGTTAACTTGGAAAAATCTGAATTTTTGAAAGAAAGTATAGAATAGTGCGGGTACGTAATAAGCAGAGAAGGCATTCGTTGAATGAGCAACAAGATCCAGGCTATACAGAATATGAAAGTTCCAACAAACCATAAAGAAGTTCGTGCATTCATGGGGCTCGTGAACTATTATGGCAGATTCGTTAAAAACTTAAGCGACATAGTTCACCCAATCAATAGATTGCTGCAAGACAAAGTGACTTGGTCATTCGACAAAAAGTGTAAAGTGGCGTTCGAGGAAATAAAAAAGCAAATGAAATCAAACGTAATTCTTTGCCACTACGATTCAAAGTTCCTGATCACGTTAGCTGTGGATGCTAGCCCAATCGGGGTAGGGGCGGTCCTTAGCCACATGTATGAAGATGGCACTGTGAGACCGATTCAGTTCGCGTCACAGACTTTAAGCAAAGTACAACAACGCTATTCGCAGTTCGACAAAGAGGCATACGCTCGTTACAGATAAGCGGGCGATATCACAGATATTTGCACCTGGCAGAGGGATACCGATAAATTTAGCAACTCGTATGCAGCATTACGCGTTATATTTGGAACAGTTTGACTACAAAATCAAATGCAAGCGTTCGAAAGAGAATGGGAACACAGATGCTCTTTCGCGGTTACCCAATGCAGCCACATACGAACAGGTGGAAGAAGTTTACGTGGTGGAAGAAGAGTTGTTCGAAAATTCAAACTTCAGCGTGAAACGAAAGCGGACGAAACAATAAGATGACTTTATGAGGGTTTGAAGTATGGCAGGAACAACACGAATTTACTTACATAACGACTGTACACTGAGGGGAGTGCGCGTATACATTCCAAATAATCTACGACAACACACGGAATTGCACACGGCTCATTTCGGTGTGGTCAGAATGAAAAGTTTGGCCAGAGCCAACGTATGGTGGTATCAAATGCATAAGGACATCGAGAATGTGGTGCAAAAGTGCATTGCATGCCAAGACACCCGACCAGACCCTAAAAAAACATAGCCAGTACACAGTTGGAAAACACCCGGAAAAGTTTTTGAACGAGTACACGTAGATTATGCCGGTCCGGCAATGGATAAATATTTGTTTATTTTAATTGACGCATTTAGCAAATGACCGGAAGTTCATTTAACTTCAAACAACGGTTGAAAAATGTCGCGAGATATTTGCGCAGTTTGGTGTACCAAATATCTTGGTAAGTGATCACGGAAGACAGTTCAACTCGACCGAATTTCAAAAATTTTTGAAGGAAAATGGAGTCATCTATAAGCAAGGAGCACCTTATCACCCAGCAAGCGGTCGAGCAGAACGTTATGTACAAACGATTAAGAATAAACTTATCGCAGCAATTGAAAAGCGAGCTTTCAAAGATACTTATAGCTTACTGACGAACCATTCACCCAGTAACCAACAAATCGCCATCGATGCTCATGCTAGGGCGGCAAATACAAGCATGTTTGGCTTTACTTTTGCCGCAAAATGATCAAACGAAATTCGGTAAGACGCTACCAACAAAGAGGATTGACGTAGGTGAAAAAGTAGCAGTTACCTGTCAAAGCCCAAATGCAAATTTGGAGTAGCTGAGGCAAATAAAGGCGATTTGCATCATAGTGTCAGACTCGACAACGGTCAAGAGTATCAAGCGACGATACGCCGGAAGCAACAGGAATGCTAACGGGAGGTCCAGTCAGCGAACAAATGGGTAGAGCTCAGAAACATTCATTATCGTCACATCAGACTCCAGATGCGGTCACAAATCACTCATCGCAATCATCATCTCAACCACATCAGCCTGTTGAGGCACCACCTGAAGAAACACTTCGTGGAAAGGGCGGAGAAGAGGCTAACAAAAACCTACAGTCAGACACATCGCAAAAGCCGACATCGACAACAACAACACTGCAATCACCCGAGACGATGCTGCGCCGTTCGCAAAGGCAACGTAAAATACCAAAACGTTTATTATCATAAATATGTATGTACATTAGAGTGGCACAAAAAAATTAAGTTGGAATTTTAATGCCGGCACCACCTAGGATTGTTCTATATCGAAAAAAATATACCCCTATTTTTTTATTTTGAAATCAAAAAATATTTAGGGGGTGCTCAAATTTTTCCATGTATTTTATATGGAGAAAAAACTATTTTTCGTAGAAATGGTATAAAACTCTTAAAAATCAATATTTTTCAATCGAAAAACTGTGGTTCTCTTCAGGAGACTTCAGTATTAATATCCAATTGTTTATTTAACCATTTTTTATGATTAAAGATTTTTTCCATTGCATTTTCTAGGGGTTTTAGAGGACCTATAAAATATAGGTTCTATGAAGAAATTGTTAAAGAGACAATTGCGTATTATTACTGGCAATCTCCTGAAGATAAGAAAAGTTTTCCGATCGAAAACTGTTGATTTTCAAGAATTCTACACTATTTCTACGAAAAGTTGTTTTTCCCCCATATAAAATACATGGAAAACTTTGAGCGCTTTGAGCACTCCCTATTTTTATTTTTATTTTCAAAATAAAAAAATAGGGGTATATTTTTTTTTCGATATAGAACAATCCTAGGGGGTGCCGGCGTTAAAAAGCCGACCTTATTTTTTTTACATACATTTTTGGAACTCTTGTAGCTCCTGTTACTGAAACATTGTAAACCTTAGGGGAGAGGGATGTTATGTACATATGTATATGAAAGATACACTTAGTCACTTAAGCATAATATTCTACGTACACATACATACACACAGACGAACGAATAACGAAATGAACACTAGGTAAAACACATGTATCACAAACGAATATGTAGAATAAGGTCAGTCGCAATCCAACCATTGTAGCGAGTTTACTGAAATATATAATACTTTTATTTACCACATCGGCGGTGGTGAAAAACTCATCCACTTCCTCATCAATTGGTGAATTATAGTCCTCAAATGGTTCATAATCGTCGGTATATGAAGGCTCTTCAAATACATCTTCATTGTATGTGTAATCGTCCTGTGGCCAAGCATGCAGCGGTACGGGTAACATAGCCAACCAAGTGGCGCTCATCGATATCAAATATTTCATAAGCCACGTGGAAGCGCGGTGTGGCTGCAATGAAGCACTAGCCGCCGTATAAGGATTATCGGCATCCGAACAAATTCCTTGATAGTCATTAACCGTGACACGTTTGTAAATGCGATCCTGTACCAATGAATCCATTATAGTGCCATCGATTTGTCCAAAAAATTTTCCTGAATGATCGCCTTGCTCGGAGATAATAACAAAGCCATTATTGTCCAGCACATAGCAGTCGAGATCATCTGAGGCACAAGTGCGACGACAGCCTGTCATGCCGGTACACTGGAAGAAAAATATTTTCAAGGTTTTATTATTACTTTGTTTATTCCTCTATGTACGCACGGTTGAGGTTATGTTTATAAAATGTTTTGCCAAAGAGTCCAATTGAAATTGTAAACCAACGACGGCGGCTATGGCTTTGTGACCACGATGTTCAAGGAATATCGCGTGTGAAGCAGTAACAAGTGTTGTATTCAATTTTGTCGCATAGCCAGTAGCGAAGGGCACACTATAGACAAAACTGTCTTGTTCGACGGTATGCTGATCTACGGCACGTTTGTACCAGGATGTGCTCATGGCGCGGGCATTGTCCTCACTGAAATGGCTGTTAAGAAAAAAGTTAGGGGTGATTTTCCACTTGCAGCATTGAGCATTTAATATGTCGTAAATTCTATAGTGAGAATATTGAATATTGCTTGGTTTAATAACTTACGGATCAGGCGAGTCCTCTGGTCTTTTCATGTGATCAATCCAACGTAGAAGACCCGAACGCGTGGCAACGAAAGAAGTGGCAACCAAAAACTTTTGATAACCTTGTCTGAAAATATATGAACGAGCTACTTCAGCAAGCTGGAAATAGGTATTCGACTTCAAAGAAATTTGTTAGCTGGACAAACTACATACAAGGGAAAATGAGCACAAGATATTCCTTTTTAACTCTTTCTCGTGTTGCTAGGAACTTACATACTAAGTTTGTGCAAAATACAAATATATTTTGTCTAAATGAATACGAGTTAAAAGAGGCTATCTCTTTGCTCATTTATATGGATTTCTCAATATGTAAAGATTAGTAGCAGAGAAAAGACATCGTTAATCGAGGCAGCTTTGTTACAGTGTTCCTTTGCATGGAAGCTTTAAAAGCACAATACTATGAAGAGAGCTTTCACTATGTTTTCAACTTTTACATTTTGCATTACAAAAGCTCGAGGGAGGCAGTTATTTCAAATCTATAGCTTACAACGACCAACGTGGCTATAGGCAGCAATAGCTTACGTTTTGTGTGTTACCAATATGTAGCAGCGTAGCAATAAATAATTCGTTTTGAGTTTTTGTGTAATTTACCTCTTAAGTATAGCCATTAATGTGGCGATTGGACTAAAATTATTTATAAATATTTATGTTGCATACATTAGGACAGTTTCATTCGCGCGTTAAAATTTGCATTCAAACAGATATGATTTTTCAGAAGAAAAGTTAATTTGTACATGAAATATAAATTATCGAGAAATTAACCAAACAGAGTTTACCAGAAAGAAAAAAAGAGCAGGAATATAAAAAACAAAAGAAATTGGTGCTTTAGTGCATATAATATTTTTTTTTCATTAAACAATATAGAGAAACAAAATGTGCTTTATGATTTTCGGATACAAACATAAAGAAAATTTTTTTGTGCTGTAAAATGTGCATCAAGAAAAGAGATAAGAAATCAATATTCGGTTACAACCGAGTTGTTTCAAGCTAGTCTGCACAAATTCGCAAACATGAGTAACTTAATATTTCGAAATAGACATCAGGTTTTTAGGATCCACAAATAAGCACTCAGTCGTTCTGGTTCCATGAATATAAATAATCATACATTCTTGAAAAAAAACTTCACTACTAGGTCGATCGTGAGCTTAGTGGACATTCACATTCGGTTAGGGTTCGGTAACCCAGGGTTAGAAGAATGTGGAGATTGTAGATAATACGACGCTTATTTACACGGACGGTTTAAAGATGAACAATGGAGACGGATTTCATTTTAGCTACTGAATCACTGTAGGACTTTTCAAGATGGAGGATATAAAGTCGCCTTCCCTATGTTCACAGCCAGCCAGATAATAATAAGGTTCTGCACTTATGTATATACTAGCCAATGCCCGCTTGCTTCGCTGAGCGTAATAAGATCTTTTGCGTTGGCCAATACAAAAAGAGCGTTTAAAAGCAAAATCGGTCTGTAAAGTAAACATTTTTAGTTCAAATTGAAACGAATAAAGAGCAGAATCCTCCTGACACAAAGGCCAAGAATAGTAGCGCTGTGATACCATATCGAATACTAAGCTTTCGATGTTATGAGTTTTACCGATGGTCTTATTTCCACCTGCGTAATATTCTTCTCTGACCTTGCAACTTCAACATTGGTCCGATGTACCATGTAAGCCAATAAAAGTCCGTATAAGGAAACTAAAGTGCACAGATGAGCGTTTTCAGTTATAGGAGGGCCAAGAATCCTAAATCCACCTTCCACTTTCTTCTTCTCCTATTCGTTTTCGCCATTTTCGTACATCCTACCAGCCACATAAACAAATTAATTATGGTCGAGCGTTAATTGCA